GACTGATCGAGTGCAAAATGTTTCGTTTGGGTTCTCACAACTACGTAACAGCGGCTACTGAACAGGTAAATTGTGTTTTTAGGCGTAGCGATTACATTTCATGCCAAAAATTGAAACTAAAACCAGTAATTTAGACATTTGTTCGATATCTCAATGTCCAAAGTATTCCAGCGTACATCCACTATAAATCCAATGTCTCAATCCAAAGTTGAATTTGGACTTTCAAAACACTTTCACCGCGTTCTTCGTCAAATTTTGACGAGGAATCATTTCTTACAGCGCACAGTAAATCGGATCAATTGGAAAAGTCGGACAACATCTGGAAACTTTGAAAGCTTATATTTTTGAAAATATAAAACAAAAAAGTTTAAGAGTGTATCCATGGGTTTTTCGTGAAATTTCCTTTCAGAAACACCTATTGAAACTGAATTTGTGGTGAAAAAACATCAAATTTTGAAAATTTAGTTAAAAACTTCATGTCCGACCTCTCCGATTGACTCGATCCACCGTGTGGCGCTTGAATTCTTACTTCGTTTCTTGGTCCATTTTCAGAAAACCGAAATGCTCCCGAGGGAGGGGAGGGGGGTTGGCTAGTGACTTTCCATAGTCAATTTTCTTATTTGATGCACTGAAAAAAAATTCTCGGCGTTTTTACCAAGGTCCATTGGTACCTTTACCATCTCACTTTTTTTACCAATTATTGGTAATTTTACCAAAACAGACTGGTAAGCTTACCTAAAAACCGGTATGTTTACTGTTATTTTCAGGTGAGAATACCACTTTTATTGGTAATCAATTCTCGGCAACTTTACCATTTTATCTCGGTAATTCTACCACAGTCGATAAAAAATATTGGCGTTTTTACCGGGGTTCAGTAAAATTACCGAGATAGTCAATAATTTTACCGAGATTTCTAGGTAAAATTACCAATTCCATAAATGGTGATTTTACCAAGAAAAAACTGGGATCAAACAGAACCCTGAATTCTTGGTAATTTTACCCTTTTCTTAGTAAATACACCGAGATTTTTTTTCAATGCGCTTGAATTCTTTGTTTGTTAGTCCATTTTCAGAAAACCGAAATGCCCCTGAGGCAGGGGAGGGGGATGGGCTAGTGAATTTCTATAGTCAATTTTCTTATTCGATGTTGTCACAGATCAGGCAACGTCGCTACTGGCGGCTTGACGGCCGGGCTCCCTGGTTCCAGCTGGAAGGAAAAACGGAATTGGTCCCGAGGGGTCGTGCAAAGAAAGCTCGAGGAAATTGCTCAACAGAAGCTAACTCTCATCAGCTGCTCCTGATAATAGCCTCTCGGATCGGCGTTGTCTGGTCGGTGCCGACACTCCGCGGGACCGCGTCTCGGAGCGCACCGTCTTCGCCGCGATCTCGCAACCCGAACTTATTTTCGGTTCTAATGAGCCCCATCATCGCTTATTATAATCTTCTTAGTGGGTTTTTTCCGTTTTTTCTTCCTCTGCAACTCCGCGGATGGCGGCGAGGCTCCAATCCGAAGCACAGAAAAACATGTATACGTGTAATCTGTTTATCAGTTGCGTTTTCAGATCGAAAACTTAGAAAAAGAGAGAAGAGAGAAAGAAGAAGATGAAGGAGATGGAGGTGAAGGAGAAATAGGAGAAGAGAGAGAGGGAGCAGAGAAACGAGATGACTAAAAAAGAATCAGATAAAGATGAAGAAAAAGAAGAAGAAGAATTTGTTTTCGACGTCATGACCAAATAGCTTGTAAAAATAGGTATGGTCACGTTTACAGGTTGACTGAAAAGTGACTGCCAAGGGAGAAGTTTGATTAGATTCATCCTGGAGGGAGACGAAGAAGATGACCAGTGAAAGGGTGGCAATAGGGGGATTATTTTGAAAATTGTAAAGGAATTTGTTCCGCACCAGGCAGAAAATTCACTAAAATTTGCACACAAATCCGCACAACCGTTGTCATGTAAAAAATTAAATTGCCCAGTTCAATTCGGCAATAGCTGATGTGGCTTGGTTTCTTTCTGCTTAACGCGGTCTAGTTGTATAATGCATGAAAAATTGCCATCTAGCCTCGATTTATCACCTGAAATTTTGAAATATTTTCGCTACGCACAGATTTCAGTATTACGTTACCTAGTCCTGGACTCCCGCTACTCCTGTAACGCACCCGTCACGGAAGCTCAGACCGTCGCGTTCTTCCCCCCCTACAAGAAATCGGCGAAGGGAATACTTCATTTTCCGACGTACTATCTAAGCGATGAAGCGACGACAGAATGGTCTAAAAGCGCTCACCTATCTGCAGAGCATCCTCGATCTACCTCACTACCATGGTGAAGAAAAACGAGGTAAATACATTCAGACGTTGTCATATTTCTTCTGATAAAACAGGAATCCTCCGACTAACTTGCAAATTGTTTCCTTTTAATTTTTTTCAGAATTTCACTTGTAATTTAAACAGGACTTTATAGAAATTCGAATGAAAAATGTTCATGAGCAGGGCCGGATTTACCGACTTGCCGCTCATGGGCCGCCTGTATTTTGCCGCCCCCTTCTCATTCGTTTTGAAACATCAATAAAAACCATCAAGTGACCGGAGGAGGAGGGGTGCATAAGACGCGTCTACTCGTGTTGGACACATTTTTTGCGAAAGCCCTGTCACCACTACGAGCAAAAGTTCACGGAGCTTTGTGCGAAAGTAAAGTTTCGTAAACCTATCTCCGTGCGGACAAGGCCTTCCATTTATGAGAAATCAACAAAAAAAATTATAAAAGAACAAACATAAATGAGATTTAATCATTTTAACTTCCGCCGCGCCGCGCCGAGCAGACCGCGATGTGTTTGACGCAATGCGTGAAGTATCCATGCAGTTTTGTAGGCGCTATGCACCTCACGTCGCGTCGCGTCGACCGTTGCTGAGCGCACTGTGTTTGACGCAATGCGTGAAGTATCCATGCAGTCTTGTAGGCGCTATGCACCTCACGTCGCGTCGCGTCGCGTCGACCGTTGCTGACCGCACTAAGTTTGACGCAATGCGTGAAGTATTCATGCAGACGTGTAGGCGCTATTACGCTTTACATGCCGGCGGCCGCGCCAAGGGCTTCTCCTATTCATCTCAAGTTCTCGTCATCATTGCTCTCTGCGCCGCGCTGTTCTTGTCCAAATTGCGGGTTTGGTTTCTCTAGACGACAAAATTATAAATTACTATACTCTCAGGAAATGAGAGATTTTGTCGCCTTCTCTCGTTTGTATTTTTTTTTTTTCGGAATCCGATTTTTTTATACCTACATTTTAAAAAAATTGCAAAATTTGCCGCCCCCTAGATTTGCCGCCATAGGCCGCGGCCCATGTGGCCACCCCCTAAATCTGGCCCTGTTCATAAGTGTGCTCGGAATTGAAGATTTCATCGGGATAAACTTTGCGGCGTTCAAATGATTTACGACGTTGCCATATTTCTTCTAATAAAATGGGGATTCTCTGACTAACTTGCAAACTGTTTTTTTTTGTATTTTCCAAAGAATTTCACTTGTACTTTAAACCCAAGTATATGAAAATTTAATTGAAAAATATTCATGAAGTTACCTAGAATTGAGTATTTTATCGGGTTAAACTTTGTGACATTCAAATGATCATAGGGGATTTTTCCTGAGGCCGCACAGGGGAGCGAGTCCATTGGAGAGGTCGGACAAAATCTGGAAACTTTGAAATCTTAAATTTTCGAAAATATGAAACGAAAAAGTCCAAGAGTGGTTTTCATTGAGTTTTTCGTGAAATTTCCTATCAGGAACACCCCTTGAAATTGAACTCGTAACGAATTAAATATCGAAATTTGAAGTATTAGCCAAAGAATTCATGTCCGACACCTTCTGTTAACTCGTTTCATTGTGCTGCCGTGCTAAGGAAGAATGCCGTCTGAGCATTCGCACGCTGCCAAATTTACTCTTAGAAAACATTTATTTTTGAAAAAAGTTATGATCATTTCGTCTTTAAATTTTCAGAATTTCTACATCAAATTAAGAACAAAATTCCCTGAAAAATCAATGTATGCTGAATAAATGCGTGACTCATGATTCATCTTTAACATTGAGTTTTAATTAATATTTTTGGTAACATCTGTTCCAAATTCACATAGGACGACCAAATTTTCAAAATTTTCTAGGGAGCCGAGGAAGACCCCATTCCTAGTGGAATACTTTCCAGTATCCCTCCAGCAGTCGACCTGCTCTGCCGCATTAAGCAAGAACGCCGTATGAACATTTGAGAGTTGTCAAATTTCCATAGATAAAACATGTATTTTCGAGAAAAGTTATGGATATTTTTCCTTGAAATTTTCAGGCATCTTAGATTGAATTGCGTACAACATCGGCTAAAAAATTCGAAGGAAAACGTTTACAAATTTCCCGGCAAATTTGTGATGAATCGAAAGAAATTTGGCAACGTCTTATGACTCATACGGCGTTTTTCCTTAGCACAGCAGCGTAGGCCGGCACACAGTGTATCGAGTCAATTAGAGAGGTCGGACATGACATTTTTTACTAAAACTGCAAATTTTGATGTTTATTTCGTCACATTTTGAACTTTAAGGGGTGCTCCTTGAAGAAAATTCCAAGAGGCAACCAATGGAGTCACTTTCACAACTGCAAAGTTTTGTATAAGCGGAGTTATAATCGTTTAAAGTTTCCAAATTTTGTCCGACCTCTCCTATTGACTCGATCCACTGTGCGGCGGTGAGCAAACTGGAACAAGCGGCAGTGTCCCTGGGACGAAAATACCGAGTAATTTCCACCCTCATCCCTTGGATCCGGGTCCTGGGTCCATCAATTGCGCCTGGCTGGAGCTTAAAAAACACCGGGATCGGGGGAGAAACGATTTATTCTATTTATCTGACTCCGATTTCCAGCGGCCCGGCAGTAAAAAGAGGCTGAGCTGCGTAGTCGCGTCGCTGGAGATCTAATTGGCTTAGCGGGTGGGAGGGGAGGCGGGTGTTGTGCGGGTTGCCGAGCGGGCCGGGCGCCCAGTTGCAAACGTCGCTTCACGCGGGGACTCCAGCGGCGTCTTGCGTTTTCACGCGCTTCTTGAGTCTTGACCGAGTTACGTGGTGTGCGTGGGTGGACGCGCTTGCGTTTGCAACAGAAACCGACCAAACCGTTATCGAGATTAAACTGAAAAAAGAGGTTTGAAGTTCTGTTCTTCTGTAAGAATCGGCGCTTTCTCACGTTCGAAATTTTCTCGTGATTTTGGATTTTTGGCCGGAAAAAGCGTGCGGATAGTAAAGCCAAAATCCACTCCTTTATCATTTTCCCTCCCTCGGCGTGACTTGGTTTCTTGCTTTTTAGTTAGTAAAATTACAGCGAGTGTGCGCAAGAGTGTGTTTGCGAGTGCATTCGCTTTTTGACGGGAAAAAACCAAGCACCATTTACTGAAAAGAAACTCCGTCCGTGGAAGCCGTACTTACGGGCTATGTGGCCATACCGTCTGCGTTCCGGGCTCAGAGGCCGAAAATTCCGGGCGTAGCACCCGGAGAAATCGAAGTTACAGCTACAGCGCCCAGAACTTTCGGCGTCCGAGCCCGGAACTTACGGTATGTCAGTATAGCCCGTAACTTTTTTTTCGGTGTTGAGGTCGAACGGAGAGAAAAGGTTGGAAGCTTCCTTGGTAGCAACGACTGTTAGATAACTTTTAAAATGCTCGCAAAATTTTTAAAAACAACTCTTAAATGATTATTGAATGTATTTATTAGCGTTTCTCAAATGATTGTATTACGATTTTTTTAGGATTCCATATTTTATTAAGAGCAATATCTGACATAAGGTGTAAAGTGTAGGTGAAAAAAGGTGTTAAAATTTCTTAAAAGATATTTTGTAGTTTTCAACACTTAAAATGTAGAGAGGAAAATGTTAAAAGTAACTTGAAGAAATTGTAATTTTTGAGACCTTTCCACGAGGATCTTATTTAAGAAAATATCCAAAATTGGTTTCCTAAAACATAGTTTCGAACCGTTTGTAAAAGTTGTTTTTAACCATCGATGTTACTAGGATTATTCCTTTATGATATTTAAAGTTAGAAATGAACTTTGGCGCTTGTCCTAGTTTTCGAGATATTTTTTTTCGGCTTTGAACTTTTAGGGGAAAAAATGTGCGAGTAGTAAGGCTTGAAGTCACTTCGAACTTATCCCCTTAACCTTCCCCCTCCCCCTCCCTGTGCAGATGTGCGTGTCCACAAGTTCATTCGGCCGATCCGGGACTTCTGTCGTGATTCGATCTGTTTCCAAAAAGTGACACATGGATCTAACTTGAGTCCATCATAGGTGAGAATGGATTGATGTAAGTATATATTTGAATTTCAGCACTCTAATCGTGGGTGATAAAATCAGCGACTGGCGGTTATGCTGCCGCAATTTTTTTTTTTAAAAAAAAACAGAAGTCTGTAGAAAATGGCCGTATATCCAAAGGCTGTAAGTTGTTATTCCGGAATTTTCTTAGAATATAAGTATGATCCATGCAGTGAAAGGAAAAAAACGAAATTTTTCTCATTCGGACTTGAGTTGAACAGGCTATGGTCAAAATCCACCCAAGAGGGCATGCATTTTAAATTCATGCGATTTTCGTGTTTCCCTTTAAAAATTGGAGAGGTTATTTTTTAACGTCCTATCCTGATGAAATCATGTGGATGAATTTATTTTTTGCGTTTATTTTTGCGGTTAAACGAAATACATAAAATGGTCACACAGTAACTTTTTTACACATAATTCATTCTACAATACATTTCAGGGATATAACATTAACTGAGAGGATGGATAAACCAGCTTTTAGATCTCACCAATCACAATTTCGACATCCAATTGGCTATAGAAGCATATAATGGTTTCTCATAAGTTTCAATATAATTCATTACACATAAAAACTGCATGTATTTTCTTATTCTCATCTGCGCTCAGCGTTTTTTAAGTGTAAAACAATATTTTCGTGAAATGACAGGAGTCTGACCTCGTTTCACGAAACAGATCTCTATTACCATATTCGTTTGCAGAAAAATTACAAGAAGACGGATACCTACCTGTCGCAAAAATTTCAATGCGGTGCTTTTCAAAAGATCCAATCACATCCTCTGATCGAGGAACAAACCAAGACTTCGCACAACTTTTAAGCGGAAGGTCATCAGTTGCATTATTGAGAGGAGATAAGAATGAGGTAAGTTGTATCTATTGTAAGTAAGATAATTAAGTTACATTTTTTGCGCTCTCTTGTGTAAGGTGTATGCCATGAGACCGCATGTATTTCGCAAATATTTAGCATGCCTCTATTTCTGTCGCAAAACTTTTCAAAAGTTTTGAACAATTGGTTGAAATCCTCACTGGTCTATCAAATTAATTGGAGAAAACCCAGACTCAAACTTTGAATCTTTCCTTATTTGACTGAGCTTGGGAAAGATAACAGACATGCGTAAACACACCAATTCTACTCATGAATGTTCTCTTGTACCTAACCTTGAAGAGATAATCACAACCTTCTTGGGAATTGCTCATTATTTTTTCAAAAATTAATGTCAAAATTATAAGGAAATAATTGTTAAGAATTCTTTACTTATGGTGTTCTTGACAAGTTCATTACGTTAATTTTACCACCTCGATTTTATAATCTGGCAATTGTTGAGCTTTCTTATTCAAAAAGTGCATACTTCCCATGCGATGTTGCATTGATTGTGCAACTGCGCAACTTTCCTTTTGAGATGATAATTCCTGTCATATATCCTTAAACTTTAAACTATATGAAAATTTGGGGGAAAACTTTTGACTTATATTGAAGTGAAGTTGCACAATATTTGAAGCATTGCATAACAAAGGAGTGCATGAACACAGCAGATTAGAAATCTCTTTCTCTGAAAACTTTTAAGTTTCTTTGACCACAAACTTAAAAACTTCCTAGCTCCGGTTTAATGGGATGTTTTTTGGCTTCTACTCGTAACATACTCCTCTGTGTTCCAGTATATGCTAAAACGTCCGGTGTCCAATGCAGGGTTTCATTCCCTGGTAAAAATTGGCAGTAGAATCTGTGTTCCAAAATACCATAGACCTACAGCCGGCTGCAAGATTTCCAATAGCTTCTACAGCCGGCTACACAATTCCTTATAGCCTTTTATAGCCGATGGCGACCAAGCAACAGCCAGGCGATAAAGTGTATGCTAAATGTTACTAGTAATTATTACGGATGCTAGAACTTAATGAGTTTTTGGACTACTGCTCTCTTTTTGGGCCGTAGTGTCTTGATTTATTTTGCGAGGAAAGCTCCGTACTTTTGATGGATGCCTGCCATTCCTAATATATTACAGCGCCTTCAGTTTCGTATGATACTGTGCAATACCTCTGGTGTGAAATAGTTGCTTCAAGCGCCGTGGGTGACACGCTGCGGCGCGGCAGGCGGGCAGCCAGCTCGAAACGCGCATTAGCGCCTACAAACCTAACCGGGATACTTCACGCGTTGCGCAATGCGTGAAGTATCCCTGTTAGGTTTGTAGGCGCCAGTGCCTCGCCGTTCCGCTTTGTGTTAGGCTTTAATATTTAATCGGGCGGAGTCAGCGTTATTCAACTCATGATTTTGAAATGTTTGCACATCCTGTATGGATTATTCTCATTTTAATTTATGAAAAAAAATATGTATTGAAAGAAAATATAATGTGTGTTTTGTAAATATTAAGGTGGTTCCGTATCAAACTGAATGATTTCCAAAGCACACGAATTTCTACACAGTTTCTTATAGCCTTTTATAATCGATGGCGAAAAAGCAACAGTCAGGCGATAAAGTGTAAAGCCCGGCGATAGAAACTATAGCCCGACGATAAGAACTATAGTCCGGCAATAGGAACTACTAGGGGGCTACGCCCCCTGGCCGCTACGCGGCCCAACCCCCTGAAGGCGCTCCGCGCCATTAATGGGCCGCTTCGCGGCCCTATTTTTACCCTCTTATCAGTGTTGGTTTTATTTTCCCCCTAAAAAATTACGATATGAGGTATACTTTAATTTCAAACTTTACTTGAAATTACTTTAAAATTAAAAGGACGCGTTTTGGAATGACTGCTTGATAAAATATTGCAGTAAAACAATGAACAATAATAGTCGGTAATAATTAAGAGATTCGTGAGTCGGGGATCGAACCCACACGGAGTTCAAAGTGGACGCATTGGACGTCTTAGACGATTCGGTCACCGCTCGACGTGAGGATTTTGGTGCGAATCTTGTGTAGATAAGTGTAGAGCTGATGCGCAGGCTACACAGCTACTGCGCAACCTCCTCGACCACTGCGCATCCTCCCGCGCATAGCGGTAGCAGTACCGGAGCATTCTATAAACTCACTCACTTTTATAACGTGATTTTAAAAAAAAACCTGGGTCCTTTTTCCAAAATCTGATTACAGCGGGCTCATCTAGGGCCTATTACCAGTCGATTTACGCAAAAATCATGGAAATCGGCCCGGTAGAACGCTCAAACGAACTATGACAAAAAGTATAAATTTACATTGTTTAAATGGGAGAATTCGCAACTTTACCACGTAATATAAAAAAACCTGGGCCATATTTTGAAAATCTGAAAAAAGTTAGCTTATCTAGAGACAATTGCCCGTCGATAGCCGCAAAAATCATGAAAATCGGCCCGGTAGAACGCTGGAACTAAGCGTTACCAGTTTCGCAAAATTAGGAGGTCATGGAGCTTATAGTATAGATAGCCCGGCAATAGGAACTATAGCCCGGCTGCATAATTTTTTATCGCTTCGTAAAGCCCGGCCGTATGATTTTCTCCGCATTCTACAGCCACCTATATGATTTTCTGTAGCCTTATTTAGCCAGCTATAAGAATTCCAATGGTATTTTGAAACGCAGCTCTTAGCGCCAATTTTTACCAGGGTTATTGCACGGACTCACGACACTGATGCATAGGTAAGATTGATCTCTTTTTTAAACGTTTCATTCGACTGAGGGTATCATTTATAAAATTGTTCTACATTCCTAACGTCTAAAACCATCTTGTATCTTTAAGTTACAACGCAATCGTCTACTCAAATCTGAAACACTGTATTGAACATCGGACGTTTTCGCATACGCCGATTCAATTATGAATTTCAGGTTACCAAGGTCCATTTTGCCGAGGATGATCTCATATGTGCGAGTTGTTTTTAGTTTTATTATGAACTTGCTGTCAATGACGATTGATGAATTCTGCACTCCGCATTTTCCAGATTTACCGGTGCATTTGAAAGGATCAAGTAGCAGAAGATTTTGAAAGGCGAGTGGGCCTTTTAGGAGGATGGCCGAGAAACTTTACGAGTACACAGGTTTCACGGGACGGTTGCACGAATGGCGGGACCGCGCCCGGGAAAGATGGGCCGAACGGGACCTAAAAAATATAGACATCAAAGAGACCATCCGGAAAATCGTCATGTACAACCCGAAAGAGGAGCCCCCCAGCGAGGAGGAATTCGCCCACATTACCAGGTTTGAGTCACTTTCATTCTTCCATGCTTATGCCGCAATCACACGCTGGATTTAGCAGCTGAATGTGGAAGTCAACAGTCATTGCCCAACGGCTGAAATTTGGCAAATTCGAGTTATTTACATCCAGATAAGTATCAAATCTTCTCGAATAGTTCAGACAAATTCAACATTAGTCCGATGGTTGCTGAGAATCGTTGCTGAATTTTGCGCGTGACGCGCAAAATTCAGGCATCGGGCCGATGACTTTCACATTCAAGCCACATTCATCTCCCACATTCAGCGTGTGATTGCGGCATTAGGAAAAACGCTGTATGAGGCATCAGACGTTGCCAAATTTCCCTCGACTCATCACGAATTTTTCGGGAAATTTGTGAATATAACACAAGCGAGTTTTCAGGGAATTTCTTTCGTAATTTGATAATTTGATGTAGAAATTCTGAAAATTTGAAAACAAGATGATCTTAACTTTTTTCAAAATTAAATATTTTCTGAGAGTAAATTTGGCAGCTTTCGAGTGCTCATACGACATTCTTCCTTAGTACGGCAGCATTACTGTCAGTAAGGCTCCATTATAGTTTCTTACGCACCAAAAAAAAGTGAAGTTAATTTAACACTCTAGATGTAAAAAAAAGTGTGCGCGAACTCATAGAATGCTAAATTACCTGCTACGACAGTTACTTTTACATCTTGTCATTGCTAAAGTAACTACTGCAGCAGTTAATTTAGCATTTTGTAAGTTCTCGCACACTTTTTTACACCCAAAATGTTAAATCAACTTCACTTTTTTTCAGTGGCGGTTTCAAATTCGTATTGCTGACATCTTTAGAACCTCTATCTCTATGATACGTGACGCCAAAAATTAGATTTTTAATCCCCCCCCCCTCCCACACGTAACGCACCCGCACTATGCCGTGATAGCGAACAGAGCAGTAAGTACGAAAATGAAGTTTTGAGATAACGGGCTCAGAAGTGTCTGACAGGAAAATTTTATTGAAAGAAGTCCCCGTTCTTGATTTTCACCTTTGATTCCCACCTCTGATTTCCACCTTTGATTTCAGGCGGAAAACCCGGCGAGAGCTGATTCGAGTCTCAGCAGCCGTGATGGGGATTGAATTCTCCTACGCGGCGGAGACAGCCTTCGTTTCGCCGATCTTGTTGAGCCTAGGCGTCGAGCATAGGAAGATGACTCTAGTTTGGGCGATTTCGCCCATCATCGGCTTCTTCCTGACGCCCATTTTGGGCTCCCTCAGTGATAGATGTCGCTTCGCCCTCGGCCGGAGGCGCCCCTTCATCATCCTCCTCTCCATAGGCGTCCTTTTAGGTGAGTTTACATCATCTGTCGTGCTACGGGAAAACGAGGTGAGAGCATCCAATCACTGCCAAAGGAGGGGTTGCGATTTGGGCCGAAATCGCCCCTCCGCGGAACTGAGAAATTTTTGGATATACGGCAGTTCGCGGTGCATATTTGACAGAAATAATCGTGTTTTGCCGATACTTACGTTTTTGGCTGCGAGACAGGGGCCTAAGCATGGCTCCGAAGACGAAAATAGCTAAAATTTTGCGTTTTTGCGGTTCTACCTCAGATTTCGACCTGGGCCCAAAGGCGACCGGTGATGAGCTTCGAATATGGTGTCAAGGACACCTAGACACGTAACATACTTGAATATGATCAACCGTCGCCTTTGGGCCCAACTTCAAAGTCGAACTTCTCCAACTTTTTAGCCGAAATAGCTGAAAATCCATGTTTTTCGCGGTTCTACCTCAGATTTCGACCTGGGCCCAAAAGCGACGGGTGATGAGCTTCCATTATGGTGTCAAGGACACCTAGACACGTAACATACTTGAATATGACTAACCGTTGCCTTTGGGCCCAGGTCGAAATCTGAGGTAGAACCGCGAAAAACATTGATTTTCAGCTATTAATATTGAGTTATTGGCACCACAGTACTGGTGTCTTACGAGCAGTTCAAGGCAAACACGCCCAATAGTGTGAAATAAAATCGGAGTTATGCTAGTTTTAAGTTTTCTATTTTAATAAAAATGTGGTTTAGATTAAAAGTATTTTATTAAGATTAGTATCCAGTATGTTGAAGATACAATATTACGCGATCATAGTGAAATTGTACAAGCCCTTTATTGGCACAAAATTGTTTAAAATCACTCAGAACTTACCATTCAAGATATTCAATTGTGGAAGAATTCTAATTCTAAGAATCAAAACCCATTTTTCGACTTAACTCGACGAAAAACTCTCTACTGAATGGCTTTCCTCCCCTGCCAATGATTTCCTGAAGGTGTGAGGAGTGTATCCTGAAGGATAGTTTTTTCCTTGGATGGGAACACCTTTGTCATTGTTGCAGATACTTTACATAAAGCGTTCATTATCAATTGATATCATTCTTGATAGTAATAATAGCCGGTCCTATGTTTGGATTTGCGGTTTCCTCCCGGTGTTTTTATCAAGGTGTGAACGGCCCCGACAATTGGATTTCTGTGTCAAAGGACGTTACGTAACATACGATCAAGCTGACGAGATGCCACAAAACTGCAGTGTCTCTCTGCAGTACGAGGGGAAAACGCCGTATGAACATTCAGCTGTTGTTCTCTCCAATATCTCCCAAATTCCTCTTCTAAAATACAAAGAGCCTGATACAAAAAGAGCCGAAATCCGCCCATTTTTTGGCCCTCAAAATTGAGGTCCTTGTGAGGCTTTTTTCCACCTTTAAGATGACCTTTTACACACTAGAATGTCAGATTAAGTATACTAACCGATGATAGGGGGGGAAGTTCTCGATTTTTACTCATTTCTGCAGGTATTTTGTTGTCAAATTCCGACTGTGACATACTTCCATATTTAGATTTCAAAACGCTGTTTGCGGTGATAATTTCAGCGGTTTCTGGTGTGCTTGACGACGTGTCTCACAAACACTGGCCAGAAATTGTGCAGACAGCGGGCGGTACGTCTGACACCGATAAAGTACGAATATTCAACGACAAAGCGCGCATCTTGGTGTAGCCGCACTACGTAAAGTATACGCATACAGTCTTAGTTAGAGGTACTATTATGCGTTTCACGCCGACCGCACTGTGTTTGGTGCAACGCGTGAAGTATTCCATCAGTCTTGTAGGCGCTTAATGTGCGTCTCATCTCAAGCCGACACAGCCGACTATACTGTAATTGGCGCAATGCGTGAAGTATCCACACGGTCTCGCAGGCGTTAATATGCATTTGACGCCGACAGAGCCGATTGTACTGCGTTTAAAGCTTTTATTCAAAAGGGCGGAGTTGAGAAGTGCTCATCTTGCTTGGTTGTTTGTTTGTGCCTTGGTTGTTTGTTTGTACGTGCCACATAAAATCAAACTACTTCTCTTCTCTTGATTTCCTTATGTATTGATAGTCTTAAAAAGAGAGCATTTAAAGTGCATCCGGACGTTGTAGTCGATAGCCTAGACGAAAATTTCAAAGAAAGTCCATCGCTTAGGCCGATATGTCGCTATGTGCGATGTCGTCATAAACAGCACGTACATACATTGTTTAAATCGGAGTTCAGCCAGGACCGGTCAAATTGCGTCGTTATGCCCGATAGGTCGTTATGTGCGATATCCACTGTAATTCATCGAAAATTTCCTTAATTTTTCTCCTCAATTTGCAGAATATTCAGAAAAATTTTCAAGCTAAAAAGTTAGCTTATTTCCCCTGGAAAAAAAAAGGTAGAAGCGCATATTGAAACCCCGGGGGTGAAACCCCGCGATTAGGTACTTGGTTTCGTACTTCAGCAATTCCTACTTAGCTTTCCTCTCCATGTAAATAATCGTGTGTTGGTAATTTCTGCGACAAGGATGCCAGATTGCACAATAAATTTAAATATTGCACATGGGTTTAAATGGGGAAATATGCTGCTTTTTCAGTACTACTAGTATAAATGAATTCTACGATGGAAAATATTCCCTATCTTGGCATACACTAAATAATTGAGGACACCGCACCAAGAACGAACCTATAACTTAAAACCGCGTTTTGACAAAAACGCATTTAAAGTTTTGTTTTTGATGTACTGCGCACACTTTTTTATGCAGGTACCTACCCTGTTTTGGTGTTTTTGGGTGACCTAATCTTTCTATTGAAGGATGCCGGGTAGATTTTGCTATACATTCTGGGTTTACACTCTAATATATTTACTTTAAAAAAGCGGTTTTCAAATCATTATAACGCCCGACAGTCATTTTGATGGCAATTTCAAGTATATGAATCTGTATATATAATATAATATAATATATATTGAAGTATATCATCATAAATCATTTCAATCACGCATAATAAACGCAAGATGAAGGAATATCGATACTGAGTAAAGAAAGGGGTAACTAGCACCTTATAGGCCCTTAAGTTTAAAGGCCCGCTTATAGGTCGTTCTTGCACCCATCGATCCAGTGGCCTAACATAAATCGGGAAAAAAAGGTTTTTCGACCTCGAGCCGTTACCTATCTATATTCTATCGCTACCACAGCATAGTCCAGGGCACGTAGAATCCGCAGATGGGCGTAATAACGACCTATACGCCTATAGGCTGTTCTTGGTGCGGTGTCCTCAGTTGTAATCTTCCGTCGCATTCCTAAGGCGCAATGATACAACTATTTAAACTCTCCGGAATGCGTGAGGTATCACGCCGCATTTGAAGGCGTTTTCAAAACAGCCAAATTCCGATATCCGGATTATCGTTTTGCATAGTCCCTCTTAGCCATCTATATTATCTCTGTCTACAACATAACTTAATTTCACTCTGAAATTTTTCAGGTTTAATCCTAGTTCCGAACGGAGAAAATATAGGTAAATATTTCGGTGACGTAGATCCGAACGAGATTTTGGCCGCAAATCGGACGACGACTACTAAAAAGGGAACAGAAGTTAGTGATTACATTGACGATGAGGACGAAGAAGGTAGCTCTCAACCCTGGGGTATCTTCATGACGATCCTCGGCACCATTTTATTGGACTTTGATGCCGATGCTTGCCAAAGCCCATCCAGGGCCTATCTTCTAGATGTCACCGTTCCAGGTAACGAGGAAAACATTTCAGTCGTTTATTAAATCAAATTCCAGCTCAAAGTAAAATATCTGCCTTCTTACAAATGCACTAACTGATTGCGGTAGACGTAGTAAGTTGAAATTTTTTAGCCAACGTGCGTTATGAATCAGTATAAAGCTGAAAATCTCAATACAGAGGAAAAAAGCTCATACGAGCACAATTTTCCCTCAGAGAGATACGCTGTTTGGTGCAACGCTAGTAACGACCATTCAGAAAGGAAACTGCGGACGCGTTTCGAGTTTTCGTTATTCGTGTTGCACAAAACAGCGTATCTCTTGGAGGGGAAAATTGTGTTCATATGAGCTTTTTCCCTCTGTATTGAGATTTTCGGCTTCATGCTGATTATAACGCACGTTGTTAGCTAAAAAATTCCAGTCTACTAGTTACAAGTGGGTCAGTTGCGCTGGTCTTAGAATCGTGTTTCGATGCTTGAATCATGTAGATCAGCTAAAAATAATCAGATCTGTCCGAATACTCGTAGCAACTTTCTACGCTCAGTATTTACCGAGATATCGCGTTTTGAAAAATCCAGTTCATGGCGTTATTCGCCGCAGTAGTGACACCATTGGTTTCTTCCACCTTGCTTTCATCAGTCAGAGAAACACACATTTGCACTTGTTACTGAACGTGTACTCTGTACTCGGATGAAAGCTAGGTGGAAGAAACTAAGGGTCGTGTCACTCTGTCACTACCGCGGTGGATGACGTCGTAATTCGAATATTTCCAAGCGCGATATCGCGATTAATATTCAATGTAAAAAGTCGCTGTTTGGGCAAATTTTATTATTTCTAGCTGATCCACAAGAATTAAGCATCAAAACACGATTTTGTGACCAGCGCAACAGACCTATTGGAATACCTAGGTCCTCCTCAACCTCCTATTAGCTGTCAGCCAGCATCGTAGCTACTGTCGAAAAATGCGTCCCTCCAATTTCAACGTTGCAAAATTCCGCTCATGTTTTGTTTTTGTTAGAGGTAGAACCAACAAACACTTTTTCTTGAAATCACTGATGAATTTCTGTCACTTATTCAAAAACATTCGCAGAAAATTTCAATGAGATCTTCTGGTTGTTATCCATGTAAAAAAATAAAACGCGATCAGAAATTTTGGAGCTACATAACGGAGAACGCATTTTTCGCCTACAGCCATCAATGAAAGGATGGAAAATGACTTTCGACCGACGGAGGGACATTGTGAAAGGGAGAAAAATCAAAATTAGGGGCATTACATTTTTTACCAAAAACTCATTCAACATCAAGCGACTTCAGCCATCGCAGGAATTAGCCCAATTAGTTGGTACGTTCAGTTCGCCTTCAATTCAAAGTGATACTGTACCACACTCGGGTGGTTGAATAGTTGCTTTGCGCTTTTGCACGCGAAGTATAGGTCGCGTTTGTTTCCGTCATTATTCCATACGTAGTCTTAAGTACAGAGATACGAATTGTTTGTTTCTCATTGCTTTTCTTTCCTTGAAGATTCTTCTCCAGCCTTTCATGGCAGCTTTAAAAACGTACTAAGAACCATCGAGATATTAATGAGATAGAACAAGTGTAATATGGAAAGAAATTGGGTTCGCTTTCGCTTTGATATCTATGCAATTCAATATGGTTTGAAGTTAACATTGTGGCATTGCGCGTTTTGATCCTTCAACATAGGGGCTGCCACAAAAAAATGGGACCGTCATTTTTTAGAAAAATTAATTAATTAGTAGCCATAGAAAGACCTGCTTGAAAAGTGTAAATCCTCAAAATAATTTGAAGCTTATTCCCTCGCCATAAATCATGAAAATAGCCCTATGATTATCAGACACGAGTGATGATCGATGGTTTTAATTTGGTACAAATTTTGTTAAAATATCAACACAGAGAACGGACAACGCCACGCTTAGAAAAATGCTGATTCTCACGATGAATAAGTTACAGTGTTTGTCATCGAAACATTTTGTGTAAAATTTGTATGATGCCGAGCAAAATAATCTGCTTTATCTATAATTGTGAGATACGGATTATAAAATTCTTGGATGAAAGCAAAACGCTTAAGTAATTTATTTATATTCTGTCTTGTTTTTTAGAGGACCATGCGAGAGGTCTGAGCACCTTTACGATAATGGCTGGTTTAGGTGGGTGCCTTGGTTACGCCTTAGGCGGAATAAATTGGGACACGACGTATATAGGTAATTTTTTATGAACTTTCCAATAAAAAATGTAAGTATGAGATGAATTGAAATGGTACAATTGGCATAGTTGTAATCTCCTATACTTTCTTACTATTTTAAACCGGAAAAACTGAGGAGAATAACAACCCACTTAGAGTCAATCAAAACCCAAAATCCGATCCTCGGATCGTATTAGCCAAAAAAAGTAAGTGTGCTTCCCATCAAAATCATAGGTACTCATTTGACAAGAATGCTTTATACTGTGTAATTGCGTTTTTAAATAAAAGATAAAAAACCTTGACGAAAACTTCGTACTATCTACTCCTTCAAATGAGAACGTAAGTTTACACATGTAATTTGAAAGCGCTAATTAATATCGACGGTGAAAGTCGGCAATCACATAACTCGGTTTGCGACGTCGCAGACTTCCTGTCATACTTTATTTTTTAAATGGAAAACTACTCTACGGCAATTCTTTAAAACTGTCATGATTTTTCTTCTCAATGCGAAGAAAATTCTGCAAAAACTTCAAGAAATAATATCAATTTGTTCTCCTTTAAAAAAATGACGTAGAGGCGGAGATTTTCAGACACCGCAAACGAGTTATGTGATTGCCGACTTTCACCGTCGATATGCTTTTTGATTTAAGTCCAATCAATTTATATAGATTTCAAACCTAATAATATTTTAAGACTATTTTAATTTTTATATGACTGCTTCGAAAGTTGTTTGTTGAATTAGTGCATTCATTCATGTTGTTCCTTTCGTATATGGCTTTTTTAGTGCTGGTGAAACAACTTGAAAACAATATTAATGATGTATTTTCTTTGTTCTAGGTGTTATTTTAGGTGGTCATGTAAAGGCAGTGTTCACGCTGATTTCCTATATATTTGTCGCGTGTGTTACAATGACTATTACTAGTTTCCGAGAGATGCCTTTAGACTTGGTTGAGAATAAAGGATTCATATTGCAGCCGGTATGGAATATCAATGAATATATTTTAAATATGTACTAGCGTATTACATATTAAAATATTTAGTAAGCAGAAATTTTACTGATTGTTTCCGTCGGTATTTTTTCAGTGACGGACTATCTTTAAGTCAATGATGGTTTCCACATGAGCCCATGGGCAAAGTTGCGAATATGTCGCCATTTTTTATCTTGAAAGAATATCAACCATTTCTCTACTCCGTTCTTTTTCTTCTTCTTTTTTTTTGTACCTTTAGGATTACACTGAAAAAAAAATGAAGTTAATTTAACATTCTGGGTATAAAAAAGTGTGCGAGAACTTACAAAATGCTGAATGAACTACTACAGCAGTTATTTTAGCGATGCCAAGATCTAAAACTAACTGCCGTAGCGGATGATTTAGCATTTTGTGAGTTCTCGCACATTTTTTTTTACATCCAGAATGTTAAATTAACTTCACTTTTTTTCGGTGTAGATACTCTCTGAAAATTAGATTACATTGTTTTAACTCTTGGAACAAAATATGATAGATTCAACTCAATTCTTGGCTGATTTTCGCGCCAGCAAGGAGTGCGGTTTCACCAGTCAGAGGTGTGGTTGAATCAGCCAGAGATGAGGTGTAATCAACCACACCTTCGCAGTGACGAGGTGTGGATGACGTACTATCTATATTTCCCCATTTGAAGCTCTGGTAAAAAATCGATTATTAAGGTGTTCGTTGCAAACACCCTGTCTTCCGATCCTTTACATAGGTTTAAATGGTAGATCAATTGATATATCGCAAATTATGCCACGCTACTGACCTCTGGCTGGCTCCAAAATCAGCCAGGAAGCAATTATCACACCTTCTTTTATCTTCTAATTTTTTTTCCTTTACTATCTGTTCATCCAGAGAAGCCCAGAAGTTGAAACAGCCGAAGAGGGACAGCTCCGCCAGGGTGAAGAAAAGACTTATGGTACTCTTAGTCCGGTTGAACAGCCAACCCAACCAGAGGAACCTACTCAGGTATGCTGTCGTAGATACTATTAGTATTAAAAAACGTAAAAAGATAATTTTTTTTCATAGACTAAAATATGTTTTGGGAATTTCTATGTATGACCACAATATTGAACAAATAATTCCCATGACCGGGCAATTCAAAATTCCCCAACCAATGGACAATAAAATACCGCTGATATCTTAGCTAGAGGTTGATTACAGTAGTTTTTGTTGCCCGAATCGTGTTCCACGTGAAATTTTGATGAGAATCGTGTATCAGAGTGCTTAAATTCGCTCCCTGTTTAATGGTTCATTCAATCTAAAAAGCGGACACAGAGAACTCTCCTAACTGTTCTCAAAAAAATATTTGATCGGCAGAAACGATGAGGCAAGGTTGGAATACTCATACGGCGTCCAAACACAACATGGGCCTTTTAAGCCCCATTGTTCGATGCCGCGATTATCCTAACGCGAGTTCGAATAATCTAGAGTCCCTTTATACTGAGAGTCAAGACAATTCGGCTCATGTCACAAACGGGAATAAAGATTACAGAAATTGAACGTTTTTCGTAATCTTTGATCGGCTCATTCTCCTTTTCCTTCGGCCTTTCTCCGTTCCTCCTCTCATTCCGTTTGTTCCTTGCCGAACCCGTAATTCCCTGGTCCATTCCAGATTATAATCTTTGCAATTGGTGAAAATGTAATCTTTATTCCCGTTTGTGACACTGTGGAGGCCTAAAATACGGGAACCAATCAGAAATGGATTCAAATTGTCTTGACTCTCAGTATAAAGGGACTCTAGAATAATCGCCCCGAACACGGTGCGGTCGCCGTCAAACTCACATCAGCGCCTGCAGGACAGTGGGAATACTTCACGCATTGCGCCAAACAGTGCGGTCGGCTTCAACCTAATATTAGCGCCTACAAGACTTTATGAATACCTCTCGCATTACATCAAGAGTTGTTTGCAATAACTATTCGACTACGGGTGTAGGCAAAGTGCCGTTAGCTGGATTGAAGGCACATCACTCTGTGAAGATGACTACGACCGCGATCCCTCCCCTGGCTTGTGCAACGTTAAATGCGCCGCATAACTAAGATCACGCGTCATTTCTTTTTGACGGTCCCTGTGGGCTGATTACTGAAATTGATAGACAAAGCTATAGGTAAAGAAGACATAGAGGGTATGAAGCGATCCTATTGGTCGAAATGTGTGATTCTTATAGACTGAGGGAGAAAATGATGGACTAACTGTCGGGTGTCTCGTAGGTTGCCGTTAGTTAGTCTATTACCGACTGCTTTTGTCCATTGAAACTACCAACTTCCACCAATAGGTTCCCTCCATATCCCTTTTGTCATCTTTGTCTATAGCTTTGTCTATCAATTTCAATAATCGGCCCGCAGCCCGGTGCTTACCACAATTAAAGGGTAAATATGCGTATCGTAATTGCAACAATTCAGAAACTCGGATGATATTTCATATTTTTTTTTTTTTTTTTTTTTTTTTTTTTTTTTGTACCTAAAAAGAAAATAGAATGAACGAAAATATCGCCTAGATATTTTCGATGCTTTTATTTGAGATCATTCAGGGAAATTCGTGGAAACTTTTCAGAAAAACTGTGTTAAGCTTTTTAAACACGGTGATCAAAACTGAAACATGAAAAGATACGCATAACGTTACAATGAGAGGTGAATACGATTTCTTTCGCGTGAATCCGTCGGCTTTTGAATCCATCCATCTCTTAAACAACTGGAACATAGTTGTTCTACAATTTTTTACGTGTTGATCTTTTCAGTGGTTAGCGGCCGCGTAGCGGCTGTAGGCCCCTTGTTGAGCCTATAATTGACTAATCTTTGTTTTCTGTGATACTTTCAGAACATTCCTCCGAAAAAAAATAGAATGCCAAAAGTTGTACCCACCATTGTGACCGGAGACGCAACGACGAATGAGGGTCCGGAAGTTCCAGACCCAGAGGTAAAACTTTTACTCTAGTACGCGTTCATCTCGATACATTACTGTCGTGAAAAACGCACGTTAAGTGATATTACGTTGTTATTAGTGAAAATAAGGCACCATGGAGAGAGATATTGCATATTGTTTTGAGTATCACCACCCACATTTGGGAAATTCTGTGAGGTTCTGCGTCTAAAATCAGTTTTGTACTTAAGGAAATATTGTGTGGGTATACAATATAAAAAAAAAAAAAAAAAAAATTAAATCACGAAGGTATTGCTCGAGATGTTTCTTTAGGAATGCATGATTAGGTTGACGTGTAATAAATCAAGATGTATTGTGTACATATCTGATTTTCCCAATGTAATTTACGTACAATTGTACTCATGGAAAGTCAACACAGTTGCCTTTTTTTTTTTTTTTTTTTTTTTTTTTTTTTTTTTTTTTTTTTTGTACAACTGACTGATTATCAATATAGTTTGCGATTGAAGTATCTTGAATTTTGGTGTGGTTAAATTCCTATCTTACTTTAATTTTAAATATGGAACTGGCAAATATCGTTTTTTGAAAACCCTCGGTATTTTCATCTCCTTGCATGAGAAATCCATGAGGATTCAGAGGTGGATCTAGCAATTTGGCAATACCACATTCTCACCATTTAAACCAATTCTAAATAATCGATTCTTGTCGCAGCACCTGGCCCCTCTAAGAATCGATACATTTCCATAGGTTTAAATGGAGAAAAACAATGTTGCCAATTTGCTGCACCGCCAATGTGAGGATTCCGCATAAAAACTTGATTGGTTTTAGATTTCTCGACATTTTCGTTTTTATTTTATTAGTATATTTAACTAATTGATGTTTTTATCAGGTACCGATTCCGGATTTAAAGCAGTATTTGTTGTCAATCTTGGTCATGCCCCAGTCCTTAAAGCTCGTTTGTGCCACGAATTTGTTCTGTTGGATGGCTCACGTCTGCTACTCGCTCTACTTCACTGACTACGTTGGCGAATCCGTCTTCAAAGGAGATCCTGCGGTAAATATTATTACATATATTGCCATACGAAGGAAAAACGCTGTATGAGCCTTCGTCAGTTGTTATAGTTCCTTTTATTGACCTTCTATGGCATACCGTCACGAATTCGTAACAACGTATTTTTGGGGTTTTTAAAAATTGAATCTCTCCTCTGTGGATTAATAATTTTGCTAATTTACGTTAGTTTTCCTCTTTTTTTTGAATAACTGATTCCCGAAGATTTAAAATTTTGAAAAAAAGTTGATCCTCCATGTTTTTCATGCGAGCTACTAAATAGATTAGTGTCCCCCAAAACCTCAGATCCCAAATTGATTCATGTCATAGAGAGTTAAATACGAGTTTTCAGGAAAACACGTGAATATTTTCCGATCAATTTTTCAGAGAATTTTCTTCATAATTAGATCTATGTCATCTGAAAATACCAAGAGAAAATATACGTACCTCTCTCACAAACGAACTATTCATTGGAGGAAATTTAGCAACTCTCTCGTACGTTCATACGGCGTTCTTCCTTGGCCAGGCTGTATAATGTTCAGCGATCAGATCGGAACAAGTCGGAGAGCCTTCCATTTTATCTGTATGCAACACGCGTAGCCGCTGAGCTGATATAATTGTATCAGGCGTTACTACCATCGGCAATCTTACAGCTGGATTGCATAATGTAAAAATGATCAACTCTTTTGAGCTCATTTTAGAAACAACGTACATATAGGTGCGATCACCTCCTCCGTACAAATACGTGATTTTATGCTTATAAGCCAGAATTAGTAGTTCCTAAATATTTAATGCGCCGCCGTGAGTAAGCAGCGTAAACCAGAATGGACGGAGCTACATAAAAAGTGTCTCCGTAAAACTAAAAGTAAATTTCTACTTGAAAAATGTGAGTATATGCTCCGAAGAAAACATACTAATTATTTTCTTATTTTTTAACAAGAAAACTAAGACAGCAGTCTGTCTTGAAAACTTTGCATTTTTTTTTATCTTCAGGAGTAATTTAGGAGGAGGATCGTTTCTAGGAGTTGCGTAACTTTGTACTCTATGAGAGAAAATTATAACATAGGATAAAACTACCAACGTGAAATTCAGTTCAGCTAATTTTGGATTTTCTTTCCATTCATTGATAAACGTTTCCTCGTCAAAATTTTGAGAAGCAAATAGCGCCGTAATAGTACGTGTACCTAAAATATGAACAAAAATATTGAAATGTTTGAGCATAACCTAAGGTTTGAGTTCACCTTATCTTCTTATCCTCCCCCCTCCCCCGCCTTCACTGATTCAGAATTTTCCTTCAGTTGAACGATTCGATTCCATTAAAATCAAAATATTTTTCCTGTTGTGTCGTTTTATTCTCCTAGCAGGATTCATATTCATATATTTATTTAGGAGTAGTAATAGTTTATGTGGTAAAATTAATATTTTTCAGGCTATACCCGGATCAAAGAGTCGCATACTTTATGAGGAGGGCGTCCGGTTTGGCTGTTGGGGTATGAGCATGTATTCCTTGTCTTGTGCCTGCTATTCGATGATCATCGAAAAACTGATCAAAGGTTTTGGGTGAGTATGTCTTCATTTCAGTAAAAAATGTATTATTATAAAGCGACTAAGCTACAGATTAGAATTCTTAGGTCCACTATTTTCAAAAAATAACAGGAAGATTTTGATTTCAGAGCGAAACGTGTATACGTAGGTGGCTTGCTGTTCTACTCCTCAGGCATGATGCTGATGGCGATTGTCAACCACAAAGTGGGAGTGATCCTCTTCTCTTGGACAGCAGGCGTTATGTACTCAACTCTTTTCACAATGCCTTATTTATTGGTGGCCCATTATCACTCTACTAATGTGGTAAGTGCTATACCTACTGAAAATCGGCTGCGATAGGATTGCGCGAATGGCCCTTTTTTGCCTTTTTGGAGATGCACAGGATTGCGCAAATGTTTCTGGTACTAGAAATTCACATGTTTGCGCGAAAATTCAATATTCAACGAGGAAGCGTTAATCTGGCAACCATGGTAGTTTATGGTAGATAACTACTAGAGTCCCTTTATACCCAAAGTTAAGACATCTCGATTATCAGCTGGCCTGGGCTGGCCATGATGTCACAAAAATGTGCACCCAAACAAACGATATTGAGGGATAACGATAAGGAATCCTGCGATGTCTGTCATCCAAAAACACCATCAAGAAAACTGATCAAAACCTAACCAAAGAAACTGCGATAAAATAAAATGAGATTGATTTGTGAATGATTTCTTAATCTTTTTTCATTTTGGTGCGATGAAAATAACAATTTACTCTTGATAAATCACAATTAGGTTATATTTTCATTATTCTTGTTCACATTCAATCAACCGCCATCTTGGTGCACTCTCCATGAGCAAGAACCGATCAGAATTGGATTTTTTTTAGGCCACTTTCAGCCCGCCCAGAATTGAGATGTCGTAACTCTGGGTACAAAGGGACTCTAATAACTACGATGCGGAAGAGCGTTTATTCCCTCCTCACTTACGGGCATGTCTCTCTTCTATGAATCGCCCTCGCAGCACGAATGGCCCAGAGAGCTTGCATAGACATTTAAAAGATGAGCTCGTAGCTTGTGGCCACTACGCAGCCGCCAACCACCGGAAAAAATTACATGTAAAAAATCGTAAAGCAACCATATTCAAGTTTTTTATGAGATATTAAAAAAAGGTATTAAAAACCGAACAGGTACGCCTGAAAGAAAGCGTTTATTTATCTCTGATTACAACGGTAAATACCTCTTTTATGAGTTGTATGCCTTATTTTCAATAGATGTTTTTAAAAAGCTACACACAGTTTTTCTGAAAAGTGTCCGCGAATTTGCGTAAATGCTCTTAACTAAAATAATCGAAAATTTCGACGCGATATTTTCGTTCATTCTATTTCCTGTTAATGTGACAAAAAAAATTAAATATCATCCGAATTTCTGAATCGTTAAATGAGGATACATATTTTCCCTCTACTCATGGTAAAAAGTTGAGCAGAAAGTCAAGAATGGTGACACGCAGTCCTACAGCATTCCTACAGTCTCGTAGGCACTAATAAGCGTTTCACGCCAACTGACCGCCTGCACTGCGTTTGGCGCAATGCGAGAAGTATCCATGCAGTCTTGTAGGCGCCAATATGGTCCACACGCCGCGCCGCGCGCCGCGTCGACCGTGCTGACTGGCGCAATGCTTGAGGTATTCCTAAAGTCTTGCAGGCGTTAATATACGTTTAACGCCGCGCCGGCCGCACTGCGTTTGGCGCGATTATCCGAACCCGTTAGAATAATCGTAGCATCGAGTAGTAGAGTTTAAAAGGACCATTATTCAAATTTTTTCACTTCTTTATCATCAGAGGGTAACACACCGATGACTTGTCAACAAACTAACCTAAACTAGCGTTGACATAAAAACGCGCTTATTTTCCAACTGTTTCCTGTTTTGCCAAACTTCTACCTAAAATTAACTTCATTTTCAATTCGCGCATTCCTTTAGCAGATGTTAAGGTTTCTATTCCCGCAATCCTTGTGCCTTTTTCGCAAAATTCTCATATATTTTCTTAGGCCTTTCGCGCATTTACGCGCACATACGTCCAATTTCACTTCGCACTCATATCACTCGGGGTTTTCTGACTCTATATAGACTCCGGCGCCGAATTTTACTCCTCAATTTTTCTTAACTCAGTACATCTACAGAAATAGCTTTCAAAATGCATTATTTTTAAGACTTCTTCTCTACATTTCATTTCCCTGGTAATATGGTTCAGTGGGAACCCGCAGAGAAATTCCCATTGGAACCCATGCGGGCCGACGGCCCAAGGGTCTTCACTAGCAATCCATAATGGTTCCCATTGGAATTTCATGGATTCCATTGGGTTACCATTGGAATTTCATGGATCCCATTGGGACCCCTCATGTTCCTATCGGATGCCATGGACCACCTTTTGGTACTCATTGGGATTTTGTGAATCCCATTGAGTGCCCACAGGAACCTATCCCCATTAAAATCTAATGGGTCCCTATACTGCCGTGCTAAGAAGGAACGCCGTATGAACATGCAAGAGTTGCCAAATTTCCTTCGATATAATGTTTAGTTTTGAGGAAAGTTATGGATGTTTTTGCTTTAAATTTTCAGGAACTTTAGGTGAAATTGCAAACAAAATTATATGAAAAATCGGGAGGAAAATATTCATACACTGGAAAAAAACACATTGGATCTAGAGTCCAGACTCTTAAAGACATCGACAAGAAAAAATACTCTTGATCCAATCAGAATCTAGCTTAAATCAAGAACCAAGCATCTTAATTTGAGCGGATTTCCTTTTGATTTAAGCTTACATCTGATTGAATCAAGAGTCCTTTTTCTTGTCAATGTTTTCAAGAGTCTGGACTCTAGATCCAATGTGGTTTTTTCCCAGTGTAAGTTTACCATTCGTGTTTTATTAGAAGAAATTTGGCAACGCCTAAAGGCTCATACGGTGTTTTTCCTTAGCACGGCAGTATAGGACCGTTTTACCAGGGTTACCTTAAAAAATCCCTTGTTTTCACTTGTTTGCAGTTTTCGACGAACGAGATGGGCGAAGGGGTGGTGAGCGAGCAGGTTCGGGGGTTGGGTACGGATGTGGCGATCGTGAGCAGCATGGTTTTCATGGCCCAGTTCCTGCTCTCCATGTGCATGGGCACCATTGTCAGCGTCGTTGGCTCCACCAAAGCCGTCGTCTGCGTCGCTTCTGTTCTCGCCTTCTGCGGCTCCCTCTGCGCCACGCAAGTCATGTACCTCGATCTCTAATTGACACCCCCATCGATGACGTCATTCACTCGGATGAATATTCGTCCTTCTTCCAGCTTGAGCTCAGCTTAGCTTTGGGTTAGCCTGGCTTTGGGTTGAGCTTAGCAGGAAGGAGGGGTTTGGGAAACAAGAGGTCCGCTTATTATGAAGTTTCCGTTTTATTTCTCAAAAATAAATTGCAATAACTCTACTTGTTAATTTCTGACTGAAAAAGTTAAATTCGCTACAAAAAATTTTTTTTTCATTCTTCTTATGAGAGAATCAGTTGCGCTAGTCCTAAAATTGTGCTTAATTGTTTTAAGCTTATAAATCAGAAAAAATTAATGCGACCTGTCCAAACGCCACGTCCAATATTAACGGAGATACATAGCAATTCGATGAAAAACATGGCATGTATATCGGCATCCACTTTAGTGACGCATACCAAGGTGTTTTTTCCACCTTGGTTTCGTCCGTTTTGAACGGCGAGTAGTTCCACGTTTCATTAAATTACAAAATAGCTTGCTCTCTCCCCCCTCCCCCCTTCTTATTTTGGAAAGCTCCTGTCTTATGAGTAATATATAATTAGACAGGTTTGCCGTAAAGTTTTACACGAATCATTTTGAAGGAGATATTTGCGCATGCGCACAAGTAACATAGGTTGAATGACAAATTTTCGTCATATGCGATTATTTGTAAGTATTTAGCATGCATCAGTATGCGCAACGCAGGTACGCGTGAAGAATGTCGAGGTGTAAAGGCAAAATATCTTCACATGAGCACAAAAGATGTCTCCTTTCTGCAATGTGCATTTTGCGCGAGCTGGTTTATCATACATCTCTAAAAGCTTTTACACTGATCTAGTTAATTATTACTTTTGAAAAGAAGGCTGCCTTGTGTTTTTTCCTATTTTCACAGAAATTCACAAAATTATAACTTGTATATCTATGTTTTCTCCCCCTTTTTTCAAAATAATTGTATTTATTTTATCAAATATCAACCTAGATGGTAAAATTCGCATCATGTCAAAACACATTAGCAACTTTTTAATATTACTTTTTTTCCAATCAAATGTTTATGAGATGAGCCAAAAGACTCGATGTATTATGTACAGGTACTGGTATAGGTGTTTGAATTAAATACATGAAAATTTCGTTCAATTTGCCTTAAAGATTCATTTTCTTAAGTTTTTCACCCTCGGAACTGCGGAGCCCTTGTTTTTCTTTTCGTAACAAAACGGAGACTTCGTTTAAATTCGTAGAAGTCTCTTCATGTGAAAAAAATGAAAATTAATTTTTAACGGGAAATCATGGAATAAAATCTATGGAACACAGCCGATCACGGTGCTTAATCAGAACTGATGTACAAGTGTAGGTTAGTGATAAAGAAACTTCAAGGTCTACCTAACACGTATATACTGATACGTCAGCACTACAACATCGGCCATTTCGGATTACACGCGTTTTGCCAGTTCTTACGACATTTACAATTTATTTTTTGTTCAATTGTTACTCCATCAAATTTTTGGTGTATATGGGTTCGGAGGGACGGGTGCGTGTTTTTCAACATACCTGAATAAAATGGGTGGAAGTTCAAGTTCAAGTTCAAGTTCAAGTCCAAGTCCAAGTCCAAGTCCAAGTCCAAGTTCAAGTTCTTTAGAATATGAAGTACCCTGCGGTGAATGTCTACAAGAGGTGAAGATAGACAGCACAATCAGTTTCCTAAATTATTCTCATGAATGTCGTCGTTGCAAAAAGAAAATTTGCGAAAGACATCTCAAATTTGATCTTTGCATAACATGCGAAAAAACGATTGGAAATGCTAAACGGATGGGATTAAATCAAGAATGCTTGCAGTGCTACGTGAAAATCTCCGAGGAAACAGGTGCGAAACAGTGTCAATTTTGCAATATAACAATTTGCTTCAGCTGTAGTACGGAATACTATGGTCCAACATGTGAAAGTTGTTTGAATGTGTAAAACTCGACATCATATCCTCAGATTGATTATTGTGGATAAAGATTCACAAATTGTTCAATTTTTCAACTAGAAATAGAATATGTTGTTACCTCCTATACGAGTTTTTTTATATTCAACGCAGGTATTAAACATACAATAATGGACCTGTTGCAAACTCTTGCTAGAGCCAAAATAAGAATTGTTACTCAGATGAAATGTCTTAAAAATCACGATGAACGCATCGGCAAAGTCTGAAATGCGCTCCTTACTTCACAATTTGCATCAGAAAGTTCCGTTTTTTTCAGCTTCCCGCCTCAAAAACGAGACCACGGCACAGGTGCACATTTCGTTAGAAAAGTCATTCCATCCAACCCCTGCTCACAGAAATACTACGCAATATTCAACATAGCCGACGCCAATCCGCCAAAACACTGTGTGGGGACGATGCTATCGACCTACTTTTCAATTTTAATATATGAATGGCCGAAAATGTGCTGTCCGCTACGCTGACTTTTTACCGCGTAACAGACAGCACATTTTCGGGATTTACATAATATTAATTAAGAAGTAGAGCAATAAATCATTAGAAAGCGTTATAACATGTAACCCTTTGAAAATTAATGCGAAAAATTCGAGTGATTATCATTTCTACTAAAAATATGACCGAAAAATGTGTTGTCTGTTACGGCGACAAAACTATTCCAGTTATCGTGAAACCACCCACGACAGCAATCAACACTGCCGATCACAGTACTTTGATAATCAAAAATGATATCTAGATTAATAGATGTACACGAACTATGAAGACACTTCATGGTTTACTTGGCAAGTATCAATAGGTTTGACACTACATTTTCTACATTTTTGACACTAACGGTCATTTCGGATATTCGGATTGTACAGGTTTTTGTCTCGCTCTCTGACCTTACGACAATCAGAATTATTGTTCTGTTGAACTGTTACTCCTTCGCAATTTTGCTGTTTGTAAGTTCGGAGGGACGGGTGCAAAATGAGTGCAAGTTCAAGTACTTCGGAAAATCAAGAGCATTGTAGCGTATGCAATCAAGTTGTAAAAAAAGACCAACACAGCTTGTCTCAATGTCAGTCGTGCGAAATAACAATTTGCAGCATGGGTGTCAATCAATGTCCACATTGTGATTCATCTATTTGTGACATGTGTGAGCACCGATGTAAATACTGCGGAATAATGATTTGCAACTGCTGTAAAATATATGTAAATATATGTGACGTTTGCTCTTGGAATGAAGATAACAGTGACTAAAGATTCACAAAATTTAAACTTCAAAAACCTAAACGCGAAACAGAATATATGTTGTCACCGCTGCTGTAATAATTTTTCCTCAATGTTTACATTTACGATGGAGTCACCATTTTTCTGAAACCTAACCTACGGAAAAGTTCGCTGGTCTGACGTCATAGCCTGACATAGTCTGACTCAGGCTGACGTCAGACTAACGACAAGCCAACCAGCTGACATTGGATAACATCTGAATGATTGACAGGCTGACGCTACCCTCCTGACATGTTCTCGACACAGTGACGGTAGGTGAGAGCCTTCAAATCTTGAGTCTATGCAACCCGTGCGACAAAACTGCCATTTACAGTGCTGCACAAGAAGTGAAACATTGTAAATTTTTGTGAAATATTTAATAAAATTTGACACATCTGCAAAAACTATGAAACTGAAAAAAGAATAAGGAATCGGAGAGGCAGAAGGGGCAAATTGGGAAGAAGAAATGCTGGAAAGACAGAGGACGGTGAAAAAGAGGATTCCAACGAAGAAAGAGAAATTCTTCTTCTTGTTCTCTAATTCATTCCATTATTCTTATTACTTCTAGTTTTCTCTCCCTTTTTCTTCCCTCTATTTCTTCTCCCTATTTTCCCGTTTTCTTTCGTTTTTTAAGACATTAGCCGATCGGTCATATGCCAGGAGTCTTAGAACCGAGGGCTGTCAGACTATGGTAAACACTATTCAAATCGAACTCAGAAAGTTACTGAAAAAAGACGCTCCTATACATTAAATAAAGACGCACAACGTCTCATACCAAAAACGACACTGCTTGTCAGCACAGTTGGGGGGGGGGGGGTGTCACGGTTCGGGAAGGGGTCAAAGGGACCCCCTTTCCCCAGAAAAGGGGGGAGGGTTCGCCCGACCGGTCACCGTGCGTGCACTCACTCGATCATCCGACATCATTCGGTCCACATCTCATCCTGGACGGAGGTCTGCCCGACCGCAGGACCAAGTCGGCGGACTAAGTCTGCCAGGGGGGGCTCGGGGGCCGGGGCACCGGGGGG